CCTACAACGAGTTCTCCCCTATGTTGATCTGGAACCATTTTCGTGCTACTACCAGGGCGGAAGGGTCGCAAAGATGGCTATGAAAATTGCCGGTAGAGAGTACTAGGCAAGTGGGTTGCACGATGTTGGATGTGAGAAGCTAGTAAGAATCAATGGGGTTCTAGGATCTTATAGTTCTAAGTTTGATAATAACGATAGGGGCTACAAGAAAAGGCTCTACCATTAGCAGAACTTGCTAATTATATTGATCAAGCCATACGGGCAAAGTGGATTTTGAATTTTATTAGAACAATTTTATTTCACCAGATTGAATGGAAGTTGTGTAAAAGGCCTCGTGGCCTCTGGTGCCTGCCAGCCGCTTGGTTTTGTAATGACAAGGCGTTTAGGATGTGAGGTGGCAGAGAGGACCATGAGTTTTTGCAAATTTCGTTTCAAAAATGTTCAATTTTATGTGGATGAATCTATTGATTGGCGTGGATTGTTTAACCGAAAATATATATCAGTGCTAGGTATTGTGAAGTTGCAGGGTTTTTGCGGCTATTGGTGGCGCGAAGTGGTCGGGGTAGCTAAATAGCAGGCTGAAGTGGTTGGAGAGTCGGCTGCAGCTGCCAAGGGTAGTGCAAATAAAATAAGATTTGGAGGTAGAAGGTTAGTATGGATTTAAATTCGTCCTAATACTGTTGTGATTGGCAGGGGAAAGAATTATTTGTGAAGGGCTCTACGCTGTTTTGGAATGTAAAGTTGCAGATGGAAGTGGTAGAAAGATACAGTTTCACAAACATTCTGCAGAGAAAAGTGAGTTTTGATGGGTTTTTTGCAAAAAAGGAGAATTTACTGTTTGATTGGGATACCTCGAAGGAATTAATCAAATTTGTTAGTATGGTGTTGTTCTAGGTGGTGGAGGCTGTGTGGTGGCTTCGAAATCCTAACAAGGCTCTCAGGCGTGTCACTGTTGGCGAAGCAACTGGGGGCGGTCTCAAAGTAGATCAGCAGGTCTGGCTGATTTGTAATGTGGTTGGGGACTCTCCCTAGATAGCTAGCTTAGTGTAGATTCGATTATGAAAACGAGGACAAATCAGAATAGATGCATGTATAACTCAGGTTTGCGACCTGAGAAAGGCATGCAGAATTCTTATGATGATTGTCCAAGTTGCTGAATCTGTGAATCACAGAGAGATCTCAGCTGCTGAATTGGACTTAATGTATTAAAGAGGATTAATTGTCTACAACCATAATGTAAACCACGTTTTGGCAAACCCCTGAAAAGTGTTACTGCATGGAGTAGTTGTGATCCCTGTGGAATTGATTGCAATCCGGATGTTGAAGCATGGCTCCAAACCATTCCCAAATGAAATGATCTCTATTGGATTGACTTCACAGCCTGTGTGCATGAGCAACTCCCTGTGGGTCAGCTGTGCAATCCCAAAATCATCCCAGAATGCATAATCCAGATGAGTGCGGATCGTCGATGGAATGGCTAAAAGTTGAACGCCTGGGGGGCGCCTGGGTGGCGTAAAAGACCATTTTAGGAAGTGCTGTGCGGCCTCGTCTCCCCCACAAGCTACCTAGGGTGGGTACCGGCCGAGTTGATTTTGACTCGATTCGCGACAAAAATGTGATACCGGGTATCAAATTTCGTCAGTGTAACTTGCGGTTTGCGTTACGACGACTCACATTTGTGTTACACGTACGGTACGAGTACTTAGGAATTTTCGCTCGGCCGTGAGTCGGTGTGATAAAAATGTAAGATAGTGTTATGTTTCACACTTTGAATGAAGCATAAAATAGTGCTCAAAGCTTAGGCTTATGCAGCATTTAGAAGCCTTTGACAAGCATAAAAAAATGTTGGGAGAGCGTCATTAGGAGTCCTTTGAAGCTACAAGTGCTTGTTTTGTTGAGGACAAATCTGAAGAATCTGCATACGAGGCGCAAAGTTGGACGCCATTGTTGGTTTTTGAAAAGCGCGTTCTCTTACACTTCTCTTTCGAGTTCCTGCACTCTTCTTCCAGCCTAGGTACCGCGGTACCCTTGCGTGGTTGGAGTCGGAAGTTCCGACCGAAACCATAAATTTGAAATTTCAGACTTGGGTCTGGCGCGACGGTATAGTACCGCCGAAAAGTACAGGTCTCTCCAATCATCGGCCTGTCAAATAATTCGCGATTCATGAACTCGGACCCGGTTCTCAAGTACTGCCGAGTACAATCGTCAGGTCCGCGATCGAAAATTGTCGCGACGCGTAACACCGGTGATACAAATTTGTGACCAAATCGTAATGCGATCGATACCCCCGATACCCACCCTAGGTAGCTTGTGCCTGCCGGCTGGCATCGGGAACGGTCACGTGGCCTAATCATACACATCTATCCTTGCCGGCAATGGCTATGTACGGCCGCCTACTCGACCCTTGACTCCTTGCGACATGATGAAAATGAACAAATTACCTTATTCGACCGGGCCTATCGAGTGATGGCGTGTTGAACCTTACACGGCGGCGTGGAGGCGCACAAGTGCTAGAGATCTCCTTGCACTCTCTCATGCACCATGCACATCACCGATCATGCAATGCTTATGGACATCGTGACTTCTCTCTTGTTCGTGGTTGCGGCTCCAATCATGCGCACCACATGAGCTGACAGCGCTTTTTCCCGCACTCACCTGAAAGGACGAGAACCTTCGCTACTGTTCACACTCCCGCTGTCAATAAGCTCGCTACACTACGCAATGACCACTAGCGCCCTATGCTCGCAGCGCCTAGCTATGGAGACTTGCCAAAGAGAAGTGAAGGGATCACCTCTCCTTGGCCCTATGTGTTCGGCCGGCACGAGTCTCAATCATAGGCTCTGGTCTCGTACCCTAGACTCGGCCGGTTATCTTGGCCGTCTACCACTAACCAGACACTAGTGGCCTAACCCTTGACGCTGCCCGCGACGCGCGCGCTACGCTTGCAAGCCGTTCGCGGCTCGCCCTATCGCTGTCACATGGCACTTCAGCGCCACGTGTCGCAATCCGGACACTACCCGGCACGGACAATCTTTGGCATGGCAGCTGCCGTGCGGCCTCGTCTCCTCTGCCGGCTAGCATTGGGCCTAATCACACACATCTTTCCCTGCCGGCAATGGCTATGTACGGCCAACTCGACCCTTGACTCCTCGCGACATGATGAGAATGAACAAATGACCCTGTTCGACTGGGCCTATCCAGGTTTCCCCCACTCGCCGGCTGCGGACCCTGAGGCCAAAGCGAGCCACACACGCTGCGCCTCCGCTTCTCGGCACCTCGGGCACATCCACATGCCGTCTGGGACCTTCTTCACCGCCGGCTCCAGGCAACCCATGTGGTACCCCTCCAGGCTGTAGTCGCAGAGCAGCATCATGCTGGGGTTGCCGGCGCTCTTGCAGACTTGGCACGCGTGGCTTGCCGGCACGCCCGTCAGCGTCGAGTCGACGGTGAGGTCGATGTTGGGGTTATGGGAGGAGGCGCAGTTCTCCGAGTGCTCCTTGAAGAGCGTGCCGTCAGCGCCCAGCAACACAAGTCGTCCATTCGCCCCTACCTGGTGCACCTTGTATGCGCCCCTCGTCACCAAGATCTGTATTGTCCCCTGGCTGCCGTGGCAGGAACACCACGTCTCAAACTTCCGCTCCCGCGGCCGTTATCCGCTGTTCCGCACGTGCTCATATCGTCGCCGATCCCGATGTTGCGCCGACAGCAGGTACCCCAGCGCCAAGGGCATCTCCTTGTTCAGTGCCGCCGCCCGTTGCTCACACGGCTGCATCCACACATTCGAGGAATCGAAATCGACCGTCTCACCGAGTAACTTCTGCTCCGTCGCGCATGCCAGCATGGGTTTCCGGTCAGAAAGTACGGTGAGTAGCCCGCGAGCGCCGCCTGCCGGCTCATCCGATAGCCCATCACCATCCACGGCAGCCACTCGTCCCACGTCCGCCGGCCCGCTTCCGACCCGAACTTGGTGATGCCCGCCTTGATCGTCCGCACCAGCCTCTCCGTCAGCCCGTTCGACTTGGGATGGTAGCGCGACGTCGTTGTTGACAGCAAGCGCCTTTCAAGTGCACAACTACTAGGAATGAGTGTGGTTCTTTTGCTACATGAGTCCAAGTCTTATAGCCTAGCTTAAGCCTAGCTATTACCCTAAGTGTTTCAATCGATAAATCAACGGTCCCTATTCGACGATGCCTACAAAAGAACCCATCGAACGGCTACACCGAAATACACATCACAAAAGTTGGAACCCATGAACAATGGACTCAATCCTACGGCTTACGTTTCGCACATCCTACGGTGGATATTCAATCATGCAAGCTCACAATCTTACGGCCTACCTTATGCATCAAACCTACGATTCTATGGACGATATGTTATAGGATATTAAGGCGTGCTTAAGATAGTACCGCCTAGTATCGCTAGTACCGCTAATACCGCTAGTACCGCCCAAAAAGGTGACCCCCGGAAAAGGGGGGGGGGGGGAAAGGCGCTTGCTTTCAACAGTTTTGGGCCCAAAATGCTGTGGAGTGAGAGGAGAATAGTAAGCCGTTGCTAGCAACAACAATTCTAGGTTGGTGAGAGGTATTCCAGTGGGGGCTAAAGAAGTGGAGTAGCACTCCATCTCGCGACGCCGGTGAAAATACCCACAAACCACTCTACGCACAAAGGAGTGCCCAGCCGGAGAAGCGTTGTTTTTTGCTAGCTATAACCATGGCTGAAGGGCTCAAGGTTCACAAGGTGGAAGAGCTTCTTTCCACGTTGCAAGTGTTTGACAAAGGCATGGGCTTCTTGGGGAGCTAGATAGCGGGGCCTCGGGCTCGGCGGTGGCCTACGCGGCCAAGGGTGGCAACTTTGCCGGCAAGGGCAAGGGTGGCCCAAGGAAGGCTTCCATGGCTTGCCACAAGTGTGGTAAGTTGGGGCACTTTGAGAGAGAGTGCCGGTCCGGATCTTGTGAGACAGAGAAGCCCACGTCGGGAAAGAAGTGCTACATATGCGGTAGCCCGGACCACTTCAAGAGGGGTGTCCAAAGAAGGGGAAACCGGTGGCCGGCAAGGGGTTGCCTTTGTGGCCGGGGAAGGTGCGGAGACCGGAAGGTGGATCGTTGGCTCGGGGCCTAGCCAACACATGACGGGGGTCAAGAGCTCGCTCTCAACGTTGGAGATGCTTGAGCAGGGAACTTGCGCAATCAAGTTTGGGAACAAGGGGTTCCTTGAAGTAGCCGGGGTGGGCACGGTAGAGTTGCAATGCGAGACGCCGGAAGGTGAGCAAGTCAACCTTCTCCGTGAGGTTGCCTATGTTCCCGGTGTGGCGGAGAACCTCTTTTCAGTCAAGAAAGCCACCGCGGTAGGAGCCGAGGTTGTGTTCCGTGGGAAAGTGTGCGAGGTTTCCATGGATGGACAGGTTGTGCTTCGGGCGAAGAGAATGCGGACGGCATGCCCGTTGTTTGTCAACCGAAGACAACGTGGGGAGATACTTGCTTGCTCGTGAAAGACGCCGAGAGCCCGGTGTTGTGGCACCGGAGGTTGGTGCACGCCGGGTACGAAAGCCTAATCAAAATGGTTGAGGGGGACGCGGTCCGGGGTGTGGGAGTCAAAGCGGAGGCATTCCGGAGCAAAAGAACCTCGGTGTGTGAGCCTTGCATCATCGGAAAGCAAACCCGTGAGCCCTTCCCCAGGAAGTTAGACTCCAAGCTATCGCAAAGAACCCCTCGAGGTCATGCACATGGACGTGTCCGAGCCCATGCGGGTGACGTCAAAGGGGGGGAGTAGGTACTTAGCCACTTTCCTAGACGACTATTGCAAGCTTTTGGTGGTGCAACCGATGAAGCGGAAGAGTGACGCCACGGCGGTCACGGAGAGCGCGTTTGCCCGCTTGGAGTTGCAATCCGGAATGAAGGTTAAGGGGATGCAAACGGACCGGGGCGGGGAGTACGTCAACGGGGGAATGACGGCCCTTCTCGGGAAGAGAGGGACGGTGCACCGCAACACGGCGGGGCACTCTCCCGAACAAAACGGTTCGGCGGAGCGATTGAACCGGACGCTCGAGGAAAGAGCGCGGGCTTTCTTAGAGGACGCCCGGTTGGAGCCGGAGTTGTGGGCGGAAGCGATGGTCACGGCCAACTACACCTGGAGCCGGGTTCCTTCGAGCGTGCACGACAAGACGCCGTGGGAGAAGAGTTCTACGGGAAGAAGCCAAATTTTGGCCATTTGCGGGTGTTTGGGGGGGGTGCCTACATCCACGTGCCCAAGGGCAACCGGAAAAAGATGGGGCCGGTGAGCGAGCGAGGGGTGTTGTTGGGGTACGAGCCCAGCTTCAAGTCCTACCGGGTTCTCCGAGAGCGGGCCGGTAGGATTTTGACTTCCCGCGATGTCATCGTGGATGAGCGCGGGCCCTCCGTGATCGTTGAGCTTGATCCGGGGAAGGAGAAGGGAGATGCTCGCGGTCCTAGTCGTGTGAATCCCCGACTCGGATGGGTGTAGGGGCTACCCCTTCGGGGGAGGCCGACACTTAGCCCGGTGTAGGGGCTACTCCTACGGGGAAGGCCGACACCGAGAGCGAGGATTCCGTTGAGGAAGACGGCCTTCAAGAGGAGACGGCGAGAAGATACCCCGCACGCGAAAGGCAGGCGCTCGGGGAGTGGTACCGAGCGAATCTAGCGGAAACGGGGAAGCATCCCAAGAGGTCGGGGGAGCATCCAGAGCCGCAAACGTATCAAGAAGCCGTAGGGGGAGAAGAGCGAGCTTTGGGGGAAGTCCATGGACGAGGAGATGCAGTCCTTGTTGGAGAACGGGACGTGGGAGCTTGTCGAAAAAACGGAGGGGGTGAAGCCGGTTCCCACCTTTACAAGATTAAGCGGGATGCGCTTGGGAACGTGAGCGGTACAAGTCGCGACTCGTGGCGAAGGGGTACTTGCAAAAGCAAGGGATAGACTTCGAGGAGGTCTATTCCCCCGTGAGCAAGCACACCACGTTGCGGGCGCTCCTAGCGGTAGTCGCGGAGCGCTACTTGGAGCTTCATGAATTGGACGTCAAGACGGCGATTCTCAACGGGGAGCTCGAGGAGAAGATCTACATGCAACAACCGCAAGGGTACGAGCAAGGCGGGCCCAACGTGATTTGCCACCTCAAGCGCACCTTGTACGGGTTGCGCCAAGCGCTGCGTGCGTGGCACACGCGCTTGAAGGAGGAGCTCGGGAACTTTGAGTTCGTGGCGTTTTGGGCGGACGCGGCGCTCTTTTCGGGAGTGGTGGACGGGGAGCGGGTTTACCTCATTGTGTGGGTGGACGACATTCTCGTCGCGGCCCGGGGGGCGGAGCGGATTTTAAAGGTAAAGGTGCACTTGACGGAGAAGTTCGACGTGCACGACTTGGGGGAGGCGATCTACTTCCTTGGGATGGAGTTGGCGCGCGACCGGAAGGCGCGCACTTTGAAGCTCACGCAAAAGAAGCTTACGGGGAAGCTTCTTGGGCGGCACGGATTGGTGGGCGCACGGGCGCGGTCGGTCCCCCTTGGTGCAGGGGAGAAGTTGACGAGAGAGGGTGAGCCGCTCGACACAGCGAGATTCCCCTATAGCGAGCTCATTGGAAGCTTGTTGTACTTGAGCGTGTGCACGCGGCCCGACATCGCTCAAGCAGTGGGTGCTTTGGCGCGCTGCACGAGCGCGCCAACGGAGGCGCATTGGGCGGCGGCGCTTAGGGTGGTGCGCTACTTGGCGGGAACGGCGGAAGCCGAATAACCTTTGGGGGGAGCGGCGAGGTCCTTGAGGCGTTTTGCGACGCCGATCATGCGGGGAACGTCGACACAAAGCGCTCAACGGGGTACGTCTTCTTGATGTACGGGGGAGCGGTGGGTTGGTCGAGCCGTATTCAACCGACGGTGGCGGCCTCGATGGTAGAGGCAGAGTATATGAGCGCAGGGAACGCCGTGAAGGAGGCGTTGTGGTTCGGAAACTCGGGGGAGGCTTGGGGTTGGATCTCAGAACGGTCTTGACTCATTGCAACAACCAAGGAGCAATACGGCTCCTCAAGCATCCGATCGCTTCGCAGCAATCGAAGCACATGGACGTGATTCATCACTTTGCGCGGGAGCGGGTGGCGCGGAAGGAAGTCGAGTTCGCGTATTGCAAAACGGAGGACATGAAGGCGGACATCTTGACTAAGGCGTTGGCACCCGGAAAGTTTCTGAACTGCAAGAAGGAGATAGGAGTTGCATAGGATACTTTGTGCGTGGGAAGAGTTAGATTTGGGCGGTACTAGCCTTAAGTACGCCCTAATATCCTATGATATATCGTCCATAGAATCGTAGGTTGGATGCATAAGGTCGGCAGTACGATTGTGAGCTCGCATGATTGAATATCCACCGTAGGGTGTGCGAAACGTAAGCCGTAGGATTGAGTCCATTGTTCATGGGTTCTTATGTGGCATGTATTTCGGTGTAGCCGTTCGATGGGTTCTTTTGTAGCACGGGCCGGGCAATTACGGTGCTCTCCTGCCCAATGGAAAGTTGCGGCAGGTTTCGCGCGTTAAGCGTGGAAATCTCGCACGAATAATTACTTGTCCGTGCGCCGTGCTCTCGCCGGAACTGCGCCCGAACATTTCATGCGGCACGCAGAACCGCCGGAAAATTGGGGCAATATTCGGCTGGTGACGTTCCGGTTCCTGCGATTGCAATTTCCCCGGAAACTAGTTCGTATCGAAAATCACCCGCTTTTAGCTTTGTAGCATGCAGGCAAAAGTACCCGTAGTGTTACTTAGGAGCGACAAACACTGCAAGTCTCGACACATGTTCGGGCCAAATTAGCAAGATTACACTGCTCAGTAGGCAACGAACCTAAGGCTACAAGGTAGGTACCGAGGCTAGTATGGTAGCTAGGTACACTAGTACCTAGCTAGCTAGATACTAGCTAAGGTAGGTACCGTATTTAGTAGCTGCTAGGTACTGTAGCCAGATTTATGACTGCGGTAGGTTGTACGGTACCTTCAGATATACATTGTTGCCTTGCCTCAAGCTACCAAGGTGGTAGGTACGAACCGTACGGTACCTAGATACGGGTGTACTAATGTACCTAGGCAGTGTCTAGCGTGTCTAGGTACTACGGTCAATACGGTACTACCTAAATTGAGTTTGAAATTTGGCGTGACCGTTGTGAATCACCGGGCAGCCCGGCAGTATAGGTAAGTAATGTATGCAAGGCCCCGGGACAGGTTCCACCTACCGGTAGGGACCAGGGTACGTACCTACAAGCTCTGTTCTCAAGTACCTACCTCACTTCCTGGGACCCCGATCCCGGCCTACTGGAAAGTGCCCCCACCTACGAGCGTTTTTGACCGGACGGAACCAAAGTGTCAAATGACCATCTTCCTACGAAATTCAAGAAGAATGGTGGTTCACCACCAAAGCTATTATGAAGAAGAATGGCTCTAGTTTTGTGACAAAAGCTTAGGAGAATGCTATTCAACTTTCAGCATGTCTTGTCAACATCAACATGGACGTACTGTAGAAGTTTCCCACAGACATGTCTCTAAAACATGCACTTTTTGTAGCTATCTTTCAAGGCCATTTTCAGTGCTAAAATGCAATAGAAGAGCAATATTTGGGGGCAAATGACCTTTTCACGGGGGCTATATCGCACGAAGTACCCACAGAGATCCTACATCTCACCGGAGTTCCGCCGGCCGAATTTTGCGATACTGTGGGAATATGCTACGGCGCGCGCCCGACTTAAATTGGTCTCTGGCAATTTTCCCCCGGGCTAAAAAGCACCATAACTATCCCGTGAGATAACATCGAATAGGGACCGTCGATTTATCGATTGAAACACCTGGGGTAATTGCTAGACTTGAGCTAGGCAATATCACTTGGACTCATGCAGCAAAAGAACCACACTCATTCCTAGTAGTTGTGCACTTGAAAGGCGCTTGCTTTCAACAGTCGTTTGGTGGTCGAGCAACACTTGTTGGCACAACAAGTCAAACTCCCAATAATAGCTGGAGCAGCTCTAAAACCATAGGATTGACCACCAGTTGGCAGTTGGTGTACCAAGAGACGCCGCAAGCACCGTGTTTTAGAGACCCTCCCCTTGCAAACCATGCCCATGACGCTCATGAAGTCATTAAAATTAGCTTAACCTTTACAGCCCATATACCAGAAACTGCTTCTGCCCCCTGTTTTTTTGCACTAGCTTGTTTAGAATGCTCAAACCAAGTGCACTGAGCTGACAAAAAGAGCCTCACGATCTTGCAGTTCAGCAAGCATGCACCTGCTTTTGAACAAACTCTTCATAGAACAAACAAGGAGGTGCTCGTATTTTGCAATAAACCATTTGCATTACGATCAACATGAGCGCCCACCACTCTAAAACGAGAGCAATTATCTAGTGGTGAACAAACTCCTAGCTGAAATTGCGAATGTATCAAAGCATTGATCACAACTTGGCAGTTGATGTACTAGGGAGGCGCCCAAGCATCATGTTCAGGGACAACTCGCTCGCACCTATGCCTAGATTGCTCATGGAACGCTCACATTTGAGCTCAACTTCTACAGCCCATTTACCATAAACCACTCATGCAACTTGTTTGGGATACAACCCGCTCGCTAGAATACTGTAATTAAAGGCATTGAGCTGAAAAAGGCAGACCTGGCAATTTGCAAGGCGTTCAAGATTTCAAACCTGCTGGAGTCTTCTTGGTGGGTGTCTCCCGTGCTGGTGCCTTCTTGGTGCCACCTTGCTCTTTCCCCTTCTCCTTGCTGCTTCCCCCTGATGCCACTGCCAAGAACCCTTGAAGCACCGCGACACCAGGCCTCGGCCTTCCTATTGGCCCGAGCTTGGCAAAGGACTTCCTGTTATCTAGCCCTCTCTCATTTGAGGGGGAGGAGCTCTGCTCGCGGCCTGGAATGCCGCTAGTGCGGCCGCCTGCCCCCTGGCGTGCTTCTTTGGTGACCCTTTCTAGCCTGCGCTGAAGCGGCGCTGAACAGAATCGACTCGGGGTGAGAGATATACGGGCTGGAGAGACGATATACGAGGAGTTGAATACAAGGTGAAG